GAAAAAAGAAATGAAATGAAAGAAAAGAAAAGAAACAAATAAAAAGAAAAAATATGAATGAAAAGAAAAGAAACGAAGAAATGTCAAAGAGAAAAATCGAAACCCACCTAGTAAAAAAGAATAAGTGGCAGTTAAATGTGTTCAGTAATTCAAAAGCAACCAACAATTTATGTAGCTACCAAAGCTAGAAAGATAATTCCAAACGAAAAAATGTCGAAGAGAAAGATTGAAACCTACCTAGTAAAAAAGAATGTGTGGTAGTTAAACGTATTCAGAAATTCGAAAGCAACCAACAATTTATAGTAGCCACCCAAAGCCGAAAAGATAATTCCAAACAAAGAAATATTGAAGAGAAAGATCGAAACCCACCTGGTAAAAAAGAATGGGTAGTAGTTAAACATATTAAGAAATTCGAAAGCAACCAACAATTTATAGTAGCTATCCAAAGCCAGAAAGATAATTCCAAATGAAGAAATATCGAAAAAAAAGATCAAAACCCACCTAATAAGAAAAAATGGGTGGTAGTTAAATAGGTTAAGAGATTTGAAAGCAACTAACAATTTATAGTAGCCACCCAAAGCCCAGAAAGATAATTCAAAATGAAGAAATGTCGAAGAAAAAGATCAAAACCCACTGGTAAAAAAGAATGGGTGGTAGTTAAACGTGTTCAGAAATTCGAAAGCAACTAGCAATTTATAGTAGCCACCAAAGCTAGAAAAATAATTCCAAATGAAGAACTGTCGAAGAGAAAGATTAAAACCCATCTGGTAAGAAAGAATGGGTGGTAGTTAAACATGTTCAGAAATTCAAAAGCAACTAGCAATTTATAGTAGCCATCCAAAGCCGGAAAGATAGTTCCAAATAAAGAAACGTCAAAGAGAAAGATTGAAACCCACCTGGTAAGAAAGCTGCCAAACGAAGAAACATCAAAGAGAAAGAAAAAAAAAATATATAGTAGAAAATTAAAATCAACTAAATAGTCGAGAGAACAAAGAAAAAAAATATATGTATGTTAAAAAAAAAGAATGATTATCAATGATGATCATTATTTATACCCTATGCGTCAACAATAAATTATATTAAAGTTTATTTTATTTATCATAAAAAAAAAAAATTCCATATTATTGCCGCAGTTTATTATTAAAATTTTTAGATTCAAACTTAATAACAGCAGCAGAAATATTTAACTTAATAATAGGCTAGAACCATATTATGAGAATTCGGATATACATTATTCTGATTACTAATTTATTACTCGTAATATATTTTAATTATACTTATTATTTATAGATTCGAGTAATTCAACTTCTACTGCAACTCCAACAAGATCTAATTTAGTGTATTCCAAGGTTATCAGCCCAACTACCTTTAAAATCTATTACTAATCAAGCGGTACCATATTTTCATGAATTATCTGAATTTGATAACAATAATTAAATTTGCAATATGTATTTTTTTTCTATATAATTTTTGGGCATAATTTAATAAATTTTAAAAAATAAAATTTTTATGTATTCATGAAAAAAAAACTAATCAAATCAACAAATACTATATTATTTCATAATTAAATATGGATAGACCGCACAAAATTGATTTTTCACTTTGCATTACACAGTTTCCAAAATTCCCGGTCAGTTGATCAGATTTTTTTTTTAATCTACAGTATATATAAATAATATGTATATATTTTTTAAAATAAAATTAGATAACTGATACATACCCATTTCTCCAAAATACTAACTAATTTTGGTGAGATATTTTCTTAGCTGATATTTACTAATACTTTCTGTTTAAAAGCTAAACTCCTATTCTGATTTCAGCAAGATATAATTGATCTATATTCCTTGTTGATATCTTGATAAACTATTATTATTATTTATAAAAATATCAGACAGCAGATAGTTTGTCTGATATTTTGGTATTCGACTTGTGATTAAGATAATATCCTACTGGGGCTCATCTAACCACCACCCTACAATAGGATATTACCAATCTAATGATATTTTCTTATAGAGAAGTAAAAGAAAAAGAAAAGATTTTATAAAGAAACAAAGAGATATAGGGAAATAAGTAAAAAAAAACAAACAAAAATAAAAGGAGGTAAGAGGAAGATAAGAAAAACTAAACTAAATATAAAATTATTTATCTATATAGGAAACCTACAACGGATAGTCACAATTATGAGCCTGTATCAGGCTTGTAAAAATTACATATTACTATCTAAACTATTCTTTATACTAATTTATATAATTAATATATAAAGCAAAAAACTCTATAACTAGGAGAAAAAATCCGCTTTTTCTACTATCAGCACTATAGAGAGTCAGAAAATCATATTATTAGGCTCAGAGTATTATTTGTTCAGGTTGTCATATTTAAGACAAGTAATATACAAATCTACATACTATATATCCACATGTTTGTCATGACAGAAAAAGAAATAAACAATACTGCACAATTTGGTAAGTAAACAATTTATCAATCTTTTGGAAAGGTAAACTGAAATGTCCACTTTTTTATAAAATTTTTCTTGAAAAAAAATAAAGAGTCAACGAAAATGTGTAAGGTTCTTCTGTAGGTTTTACAATCGTATAGTTGAATCTTCAAGATTATATTATTTCAGTGAGGGCCAGTCTACTACTTGCTTCTAGAATAAACCTTCTAATTTAGATGCCAAGTATTCTAGAGTCCACCAATACAAAAAAGCTTGATCTCAAGAAAAACTACTCAAGTTACACCTGCTTCTTGGTGTTTTACCTCTTTCAAGCTTTATCGACAAGCCCTAAAACAAGTAAGAAAAAAAAATAACAAAAGGTATACTATACCAGTAGTAATAACGAAGCTCAACAAAACCGTACCATCAATGAAATCATGAACTTACTACTACCTGAAAAGAAAAAAGTTAGTAAGCAGACTAGGCAAATGCTAAACCAAGTGAACAAAAAAAAACACGAAAAAAAGGATACAACAAAAGGTATAGTAATACTAGTAGTAACAGCGAAGCTCAACAAAGGCATAACAAAAAAATCTGTTGTAAATGTCTAAAAAAAAAGTAGTTACTAGACAAGCAAAAAAAAAAATAACAAAAGGTATACTATCAGTAGTAATAATGAAGCTTAACAAAACCATACTGTCAATGAAATCATAAACTTACTACTACCTGAAAAGAAGATAAGTAGTAAGTAGACAAAACAAATACTAAACCAAGTGAACAAAAAAAGAATATAGCAAAAGGTATAGCAAATGCAAAAAAAAAATTAGATCACGATTTAAAATTTGTTACAGATCAAAATCTCTGGGTTATACATATAACATAACGTTGCATACACATATTGACCTTAGAAGGTCATTTAACATATGTTAGTTAATATTCTAATACAAAATTAAATTAAAGTCAAATTTTACAATAAATTGACAGGAAAATTTTGACTTTAATATATGGCTACGATCTTTGATTAGAAAAGTAATAAAGTTCAATATAATTTTATTTTGGGTGTCTTTAAAATAGACCCGGGGTTTAGGTTATTAACCTATGACCAAAAATAAATAAATTAAATTTAAAATAGTCTTTACATACTAACTAACCCTAACCAAAATTGAGAGTAGAATAATAATCTATACCCCAGGCATATTTTAAGGTTCTTTATTTTTAGATTGATAAGTTTTTCAAGTCTCTTTGGTCTGCTAGACATTTTTTTTTATTATTAAATTCAGAAAAATTCGCTAATTTTATTAAAAAATAATCGATTAATATGTACTAATATGATAATTTTTTTTTTGTGAATTGTTTTTTTTTGTTTGTTAGACAAATAAGGTTACAAGTTTCGAAAAGTACAGATCATTAAGCAAGATTTGCATTGCACAAGATGTAGTGCAGTAAGTATCTAGTAATACTATAACAAATGAGAATTACTATTTGAGCCTATTATACTATTATCTTATATACTTAGATATTATTTTAACCACTATAAATACATAAAAAAAATTTTTTGTTAATAACAACTAGAAATAAAATAATTACAGTATAATTCTTTTCTCATTATTATATAGCATTGTAATAAAAGTTGTTTAAAATATAACTTCTATTAGTTTTATTATGCTTGGTCAAATATGTACTTGTACAATTGTGTACAAAATATACATGTGGAGTATGATCAACAAAATTTATTAGAAAAATTTAAATTCAACGTAACTCTTCAGGCTTCTGGATATTGTAAAGTAGTATTTCAATATGGGATTTAGTTTATTTGTTGCCTGAAACCAATTGAACCAAAAAAATGCATAGTATTGATTGTTGTTTGCTCGATGCTAGAAAATTGATTCAATTTTGGCGTATGCAGTACCCTCAGTTTCTTCTGATAGTTCCACAATATCTCCAACATAAAATTTTAACTGAATTAGATCTTGATTATTTTCAAGAACGGTATATGCGATTGAATTATAAAATTCTAAGTTCCTGTACAATAATTCAGCTCTTGAATTTAAATAATCAGAATATGCTCTATGAAGATCCTGAAAAAATGGGTGCTCAACATCTAAATTCTTTGATAAACCTGCATTTCTAACTTTATTGTTATTCCATTTATTACTAAATGATATATTAATAAAGTTTTTATCATAGCATACTGTAATTTCTGTGAATAATAAAATAACTAAATTAGTAATACTAATACTCCAATATAATACTGTATACAGTACCCATGGTCTTACATATTTGAGAAATCTTTTAAATTAAATAATGAAACTTGAGTACTATATTTGGGAGATACTATATAAAAGTAATAATATACAGAGTACTGTTTACAGTGCGGTAATAAACTTAGGGTGCTCTCAAGCATTTAAATCAATAGGTCTGAGTTCAATTTTAACTATGTTTTTTATCATAGAGTTGTATTGATTAGCTAAAATTTAATATCTGTGTTTCACAACGTGAATTTTTGACAAAATTACTATAAGGTTTACTTTATTTAATCATAGTACTTGTGCATGATCTATTGCTAGCTACCTAGCTACTGCACCAAATTTGTCACAGATAATCTTTGTTTTTGATTGGCTAAGAGTGACGATCAAAAATTTAGGCCGAAGTTACTTAAAATTTTACTAATCAAACCACAGCCGCACTTATATAATGCAGGCCCAATCTGTAACAAATTTTGTGTGGCAGCTAGGTTCAATGCTAAATATACTGCTTGAGAGTATATATAATATATAGTTAGAGATAGAAAAGTTCGTATTGGCTCAGATTGGATTAATATATGCAGCTACTGCATATATATTAATTTGAACTTCTCCATCTCTATATATAGTTAAAATATACGTAATATATATATATATATATATACATAATATATATATCATATATAGACAAAATATATAAAAATAATATAGTAATAAGTAGTAATACTCGCGGTCATTTTCGTATTTGACACTCTGATTAATCAACAAATTTTCTGTAGCATACCAGTTAGAAAGTATTAAACAAACATTTGGATCCATAGCAAGATTTTTCATAGCATTGGCCCTTATACCAAAACGAGGATCTACTCAGCCATCAATTAGATATCATAATGCTTGTATTGTGTTGTATCGCCAAGTAAACTCAAGTTCAATTGCTTTACGATTCATATGTAGTACCATATTTTTAAATGTATGATGTACCATCTCCTTTACCCTTATAGCAGTGTTTACAAGTGTTGCAAAATTCTGAGCATGCAGTAGGAGGTGGATATTTATATGTAAATTCAGTAGATTTGTAAAGTTATCCGAAAATAGCTAGTAAGAAAAAAACAAAGTTTTTAGTGTAAGGATTGAAACCGTTTAACTAAATTATTATTTCATAATTCTGGCTGAATTATATTAGTTTGGACCAGAATTATATTAAACAGTTTCAATTCTAGTTTAATACATGAGCATCTCAAAATTCTACTTGGTTAACTGTGCATTGTTCTACAACAATAACAGGGTATAGGATCGATTTACTGTTACATGATTTCTGACGTCTATCAGCAAATCAAAGATCAGGATCAGATGTAACATAAGGAAATTTAAAACAAATATTTGCTTTGCGAAATCGCATTTATCTTAAAATTTAGGTTAGTCAACTATTCTTGAAGTCCTAATAAAAAGATTTCCTTGTGCAATTTTGCTATATTATTGTTCTTTCTAACCTTAACCTAAACTCTAACCCAAATATAAAAGAAGTTTTTAGCTCAACAATATTTGTTTTTCGAGTATCATGTGATAGTAAAATCTATCTGACTCCCTGTCAAAATTATTGTTCCACAAAGTTGTTGAATAATATGTAATTGGTGAAACAATGTGATATTAATCAAGTGGAATTTACAATTAGCTTTAGTTGGAATGCACAAATAAACAGTTTAATTACTTGTAGTAGTATTTCATGTTCATTTTTGAGTGCTTCTTGTAATTATTTATAGCGAATTTTTGTCATTGTAGTTGAGAATACAAGTTTTAGTACATTGGCTTCAACTGCCCAACAAGTACATAATTTAAACACTGCAGAATTTTTATTTGTATGCCAATTATTTGATGCTTCTGCCTTGACGTGATGAGGCTTTAAAAATCGTCAAAGTACAAATGGCATTAACATCGTAAGCCTCAGCATATCAGAGAACATGAAACTTTGATTATGCCTTAATGAATTGGGCATCTGACACTAGTTGGAAGGTTTTTCTATATCTTTCCAATGCTTCAAAAAAGCATTTTTACCATTCTGATTAAACATATTAAATGTTGCCTCTAGAAGAGTGCACGCTTTTCCAGCCATGGAATGATATGCATCTTGTGGTGTTTGGATATGCTAATCTCATTGAAGCATTCTTAAAGAACCTGGCTTCACCAACCCGTACACAACTGCTAGCCATTTCATATCTGCTTTTGAATTTTGGCTTTCTATTTCTGCAAACCGCTCTTCTGTTTGCTGATTATATCAAGCATTTTTTATGTAATTATACCTTAAATAGGTATATTGATTATTCAGTATATTGCAAGTTCGACAACCATGGTTGGTATTGTGCCATTTTATGTCTGCCAAATTATTTTCTTGTGGGAGGTCAGCAGTGATACATCCAATTCCACCTATAATAGTAATATTAAATGACTTTTTAATAATCAGAATACTGTATGATTGCAAAACAACACCTCTGCAAATATAGTTTCTGTTCAAACTGTTTGAGACAATTCAAATCTTGTAATAATTAATGTTATTACATGATTTGATTGTCTCAAATAGTTTGGGCAGCAACTATATCCTTCTGATATTTTGGACGCCTATTACATATGCTATACAAAATAATATTTTAAAAATGTTTTAATTTTTATATACCATATTTCACGGTTTAAACCACCCTGCAGATATTTCGGCGATGCATCTCAAGTAACTTCATGCTTTGTAATATTCAAATAGAAACAATTTCTACATTAACAAATAATAAACAAGATTACATATACTAAATATAGGAAATTGATATTTCCACACCCTTTTTTGATATTGCTACACACCTGTTAATAAAATCAATATAAATTATTAGAGTTTGGTTAGGGTTTAGAATTAGCAGGGGTGTGGCAATATCAAAAAAGGGTGTGGAAACATCAATTCTCTCCCATTATAGAACCTTTATAAACTATTAAATTTTTTACAAGGGAGGGTGGTTTAAACCATGAAATAAGATATGAAATTTTTAAAAAAAGTCAGACCGGCTGGGTCTATATAAAAGTTTATGTTATAAAAACCAAGAAATTAAGTTTGTATGGCCTTATGTCAAAAGAAAATATTAATTTTTTTGAACCAGATGTATGTAAATATATTAATGTTTTCTATGAGGTGTGCATTATTTTGAGGCTTATTTTTGAACTAAATGATATTTTTAAAAGATATAGGGTGCTCTCACACATCTAAATTAGTAGAACTGTGTTCAATTTTTAATTAGTAGAAAACAAATTATTAGGTCAAGCGAGTTCATTATCACGATAAAAAAAAAGATGGTCTGAGACCATCTTTTTTTATCAGAGTTGTGCTTATTGGCTAAAATTTAATAACCATGTTTCGCATCATGAATCTTCAACAAAATTACTATAAAGTTTACTTCAATTGATCAAGTACTTGTGCATGATCTTTATAGTTAGCTAATTATACTGAGAAAGATGCTTGAGAGCAACCATAATTTCATAATTATACAGTATAATAATAAATTTAATAACTAACCTATAACCCATGTATTACTAAATAAAGTCTTAATAACAAGGCCATTTTTTAATCGAGTTATTTCTTGAAGTATTGGTTTAATGAAATCATTAAAACTTGCCCCAAATGGAACAAAGCTAATTAAATAATGGTTTTTTAATTTTTTCCAGAAATCTAATAGCATATTGCCGAATTGTAAATAAACGCCACCTAGTGAATGATATACATTCCTGTAAGTACCAAAATCATCCACATAAATGTCGAGAAAAATCTTTAAGATAGGTAAGTTTTGTGGTGGTGGTACAAGTGTAATATTTTCACAAAGTAATTTATGTCTTAATTTTATATCATAGTACTTCAATCTATCATCAAAACGATACACGATTTTTTTAATAAAAAAATCATATTCTGAAGACTTTGGCATATCACATAACCAAACGTTTATGCGTCATTCTATGTTTACTGGATTAACCAAGTTTATTTCCTTCTCATTTAGCCATAACTCCTTCCCGCTTCCACGAATATAGTAATTATCAGTAGGGCGAATATTGGGAAGGTCTTCATACGATAAATTCAATTTACTTTCAATTTAATTAAATTATTATTTGTTTCATTGGCTATCACACCCGTACTTGACAAATAAATATTGAAAATTGATCATAATATGTTAAAAAATCTCCAGCTATATAGGACTCTAATGAAACATAATTATTAATTTATTTTATATAAAATATAAGAAAAAATAAAATTAATTTAAATAAAAAAAAATAAGTTAAAAAGAAATTAATATAAATTAAAAATTAAAAAAATTAAATATTAAATTAAAAAGAAACATTATGTATTATTAACCTTCATTAATTTTTACTTCATGTTCTCCAAATAATAGTGAATCTTACCATAATTTGCCATACCAAAATTCTTGCTTTTCATTTGTTATAACACCGGTGCCAAAATACATTTTTGGCATAAGTGCTAGGTTGTTTAAAATATGCTCTAGATGGATTAATAGAGAAATAGTAAATGCCATTTTAGTTGCTTCATAAGTAGATGGTGTTTGTTTTATACAAAGAGGCACATAATGTTTATGTGTTTGAGCTAAAGGTAATCTATTTTTCTATTCCTAAATTCAGCAGATATTTGTTGTAATATCCTCCTTGTGATATTCAGGGTGCTTGAGAATTCTGACAAGGTCTTTATACACAGAGGTTGCTATACGAAACCAAAAAATATTATGTAAATTTAATGTAAATTTATAATAAATTACATTAATTGTGTCGAATATTACATTCAAGACTTTTATCTGTGAAATCACATTGTACTTAATATACATCAAATATAAGGAAACTTATATGTAAATATAGCCTCCCCCAGAGTAGAGTTGGGACCAAGTTATTGGTTAATAATAAAGCAATTATTAACTATTATTAATTAGTTATTAATTTAGGTCAATTATTAACAATTATGAGCAGTTAATATTAAATTTCTATTGTTATGCATGAAAGTTTTTAATAAATATATCATTTTAATTGAATTATCGTCGATAATATTTATTTTTAATTTTGGTATTGATTACTATTAATAAATAACTTATAATTTAAAACAATCTGAATTCACAACACTACCTGAGTCAAATCATTTAATAATTACAAGTTATAAAGTAATTAATAATGATAAATTATATATATATTTATATTTATATAAATCTCTTGCATAAAAATATGAGAGTTTATAAAATATAAATTTAAATTACTTTAGAACTTGCAATTATAAATGATAGACTCTATAAGAAACTATATTTATGTAATAAATATCAGTTCTCTTGTCAGAATGTGTTATTCGGTATGTTAAATTCTTTTTAAAAAAGTGATTTTAACTAGTATATTGAAAGAATACTTACAAATCATATATTTAGTAATCCAAATGAAGAACATTGCCAATGTGAAATTCGGAAAGTATGGACTATATTTACTTTCAAAACCCTCAAAGTCAGAGGACATATCTTCTAAAACATAATTTACATTATCTGTAGCATCAGATTCATCACTGTCTATTGAGGTATCTATAGAGTTAAGTAACTGTTTATTATTTCTACTATCATATATTGAATCCGCATCAGATTCATCATATTCGACTGATACTTCTTCTAAGGTATCAACCAATGACCTATACAAAGGTTGGTAGCTATCGATATCCTCATCATGTGTTTCTCTGAGCTTCTTAAAAATGAATTATATAATATTGTTAATATATTCATATTTCATAAAACAACATATGAGGTTTTTGTCTTGAATATAACTTCACAGGATTATGTAGATTTTATGAATGAAAATCGCAATTTTTAGCCACCCAGTAATACAATTCAAATAAGCTTTTTTTTATTTTGTAAAGCTTAGTAAGTTCTACAAAATAAAAAAAAGCTTATTTAAATTGGATTATTGGATAGCTAGAAATTGTGATTTTCATTCATAAAATCTACAAAGTTCTGTAAGGTCATTTTCAAGGTAAAGACCCTATATATTTGTAAGTATACTTGTCAAAAGTATTTTAGAATATACACTAATATCGTTTGATAAAATGTAATTGATAGTTGGTGCACTCTCAGTCTTTTCAATTATACTTTCTTCAGAGGGAAGGGTACCGTTTTTTATATCGTCATGTTCTGAACTTTTATCAGATAAAGTCCCCTCGGCTTCTTCATATTTAGTTTTCTTTGGTTTAATATGTAATTTTGGAGTTGACAAATATGCATGGATGATTCTGTTTAAACATTTCATTACTTTATTTACATTATGAAAAATAGTTAATTATATCTTTCATTTAATTAATCGGTGCCGATAGGAAGAGAAATTAATCAATTAATCGATCTCATTCTTCTTTTTTATTTACTTATTATCAAGCATATTGAAACATTAATTGCAATTAAATTTTGTCATATGTATATGCAATTACAATCAATTAAATTATCATAATTTAGTAATAGCATAGAACTAGTGAAGCTAAAAATTAAATGTTATATGCCGTGATATATTGAAAAAAATTTAATTCTTAATAAATTATTAAATATGACAGTTAAGTATCACCTATTTTTAACTCCAGTAATCCCATAAACCCAATGTAAAATTTGCAATTAATTGATATATTGTGGTTACGTAACCAATCAATTAATTGGATTCAAAAAATTGCATTAATTGCCCCAGCAATCAATTAGGTATTTGGTATACTTGGTTATCAATAGAAAGACTTTAGTATGATAATTTTATATTATTTATACATTTAAAGTACTTTTTAAAAAAAATAAAACCAAGAATAAACAAAAAAGAAGCATATAGAAGACTCTAGTATTAAAAATATTTCTGGTTTTAGAGAAGTTAGCATAATAGCAACTTTTTTAAAAATAGATAGAATTAGGTTATTACCATGCTAACTTCTCTAAAACCAGAAATGATTTTGATTATTTTTAATATTGGAGTCCTACAACCCTAATAAAACTTTCTATATACAGTCATACCTATGTTATATCCCCACTGGTTTATATCCTAACCTAAGTTATATCCCCATATTTTAGCAAAATAAATTTCTTCTTTTATATGTTTTTATATATTTTGTATATTTGAGTTATATCTATACCTTAGTTATATCTCCAAAAATGCTTTGGAAAAAGGAAGATATAACCCATATACGACTGTGTTTCTTTTTTGTTTATCCTTCGTAGTTTTATGTTTTTAAAATGTACTTTAAACTATATAAATAATGTGAAATTAAATTGGTTTAAGCAGTCAATCATACTAAAGTCTTCCTATGGCTTGGTTATTATTGAGTCACATATATTGATCATTTAATTTACTGTAATTTGTAAAATAAACAATGATTATGCAGTACAAAAGTTTATAGTTTATTCTGACAGATGTATAATGATCATTTATTCTGAAAGATACATAATCTATTATATAATAAGCATTGCATAACAATGTAAATTAAGAAGATTTTGATCACAAGAGATTAAATTCTTTTGCTTGATACTTAATAAGTTTGTTGTGAAAGAATAGATGAAAGAAAAAATTACCAGTGGTCGATACATAGCACTATTATACTACTTAACTGCAAATATGACAATGAAAATTTGGTAAGCTAAAGAAAATTTTAAAACTTAGAAATGATCTGTTTTAATAAACTTTTATAATAGCAAAGGTACCAAAAGGGATAACAACTAAAAGCCGATTGGGTATGTTATACAAAAATATTTAATTCTTTCTATTATATTTATCTAATTCAATATTATCGATTCTTCAGACAATGAAAGTTCAGCTTCCAAGAAAGTACAAAAACGTAATAAAAACCAATGAGCTGCAAGCCCTATTACAGATTTGGC